AAATCCTGGACATCTTGCTTTAACTTAACTGGATTTATGTTGAAGTAAAACTTGTAGCATTGTGTGGTTGAGACTTTATGTGTGCATCGGCTCCTCTTTTAGCCTATAGTTACACTTAATACCCTTCTCGACAAAGCTATGGTGTAGGGCTGTTTTTTCCCCTGCGATATGTATTGCGTATTTTTTAACTATATTTAACCGGATGAAGGATTTTAGTCACTGACGTCTGGATCTTAACTGGTTGACTCATCATACCTTAAGTCATGATCTAACACAGGCATGGGCAAACTAAGGCCCGCGGGCCATATACGGCCCGTTGGGCTTTTGAATCCGGCCCGCCGAATATTGGTACAAAATTGTCCAAATTATGGTTAAGACCGCATTCATTTTGCCTTTTTCCTGCAATACCCGGCATTTCAGTTGATCCCACTAGATGGCGCACTCTAGACATAATTTACCTTTGCTGGAGTCTGGTCTATTCTCTCAGCTGGCCCCACTCGGCAACCCGGCAAGGTCGGCGAATACAAGTAACAAGCAGTAGCGCTGAGCAAAGTGACTAGAACTACTTTTATAACCATCCGTTCACTGTTATTGACCATTGGGAAGAGGCAGACGTTTTCCTTTTGTTTTGTATTATTGCAACTATCGGATGGAATCAATAGCCTACATGGGCTACATGTGGCCATCACAAGTAAAATCATAACGAAAACTACGCCGGTAAAATATGTGTGTAGAAAACGGCTTATGCCACAATATGATAGCAACAAGTAGTCAAGATAGTCTGATTAGCTTGCTATGCTAACATCACATGTAGAATGGCAGAGAAACGTTCATAACAGAGTTGTGATGCCAAACAGCTTTCAGACTAAAACACATTCACTTATGGGGATGGGGGATATTTATCAGCTGCTTGTGTGACAGTCAGACAATGAAAACTTTACAGCGGGAGAATAAACTCCGGTAGACGAGCAGCACTGCAGCAAGCAGTAATGCAGCTGAACCACATTAATAAACAATACACCACGGCACTGGAGAAAGGTACAAGGATAGAGAAGTAGTTCTTTAATTTAATCTGGCTTCGTATAATTAAAAACTACCTGACGCAGTCCTCTATTGATGTTGTTGTGAGTGGTGTTGCGGAGAAAATCAGCGACGTAAAACGCTGTGTGGGTCATAAGAAGGCACGTAAACGGTTACGTCATGACGCAAACGATGACGCAATAGTTCACCTTTGAACCTAATTCACCTTTTAACCTGCATCTGTAAAAATGAGTGGACCAAAAAAAAGAAAAGTCAACATTGAGTGCCGAGTGTATAATGAGGAGTGGACAGCTAAATATGTTTTTACCGATCTGCTACTGGCCCGGCCCGTCTGTCAAATTTAAAACTCATAGTGGCCCACCCCTGATCTAACATGTCATGATAATGCATGTTGCTTACCCTCAAATAAGGGGGTTCATCAGTGAGTGAACAAGAGAAGAACCTTTTTGCATCAAAAATAGTTCCAGATGGCAGAGTTTGCTTTTCTTTTTGGAAGTAAATCTTCATTCTCGCCGGTATTGTCCTCCTGTGCCTCGCTAATTTTTTACCAGTGTTCTGCATGTCACTCACTCACTGACATGAGAGCCGCGCAAGTTTTCCTTTTGTAGCAAGCAGCAAAATAATTGTAACATGACGTGTTTGAGTTAATGTACCTACTTAAGTCCTTAAGCACTTCCTAAAAAAAAAAATGAATAAAATCGCACGTCCCTGCGATGTGAATATCGCACATGCGCATATCGCGGTTATCGCCATGACACGATATATATCGTTCAGCCCTACTATGGTGCCATAAGCTTGTTTTCTTATATGAATGGCTGGCAGGTGACATTCCACTGCTTGCAAAAAGAGCAACTCTATATAAGTATATGAAAATAATTATCCTCAAGTCCCTGACACCACAAGCTGATTGTAAGCCAGTGACCAATGTCCGTCCATTGGTTAGTATGTGTTGCCTCAGTTCTTGCAAGGTGTCGCGTGAGTTGGCACTAGTTGGCTCTTGTTGCTGCCGTTTTTGGAAATTCTGAATTTTGAATTAGCAGAGGATTCAGTCAGTGAGAGAAATCTTTCTTATTGGCTGTTTGGCTTAAGTGAATCAGTGCAAAAGAACAGAAACGGACATGAGGGAAAACAAGCAAGGCACTAAAGTCAAGAAAAACACTCACGCTCTTTTGATTTAAATCCTCATCTAATATGATCATTCAGGTACAATACTTGTACAATACTTGCATATTTTGACAACAACATAGCCATTAGGAAGGAAGTTAACAACACAGCCTGTATTTCTATAGTTTCCCAGTTTCCTTTTTTGAATTTAAAATCCAAAGACTACTGCCACTATAATTTAAAGGTATTTCCCAGGGCGCAGAAGGTAGTGCTGGTTGGCTGTAGCAAAGAGGCTTTAATCTTTGCGTTGTGTTCAATTGCGGCTATTTGACCAAGACACAGGCAATATGAGGAAGCAGTGGTCCTCCATTTCCTCTAGTTCTTTGAGGATGTTTTTTATGGTGTTAACTCACTTGATTCGTTGCATTGCTTAATATTTTTCCTTTAGGATTTAAAGGAAGGAACAGCTAGCTGCAAAGTTACTAGCTCGTGGATTATCTGTCAAAAGAAACAGCTTTTCAGTTTTTATCTTGAAGCTTGTTTCACTATATATGAGCAATTTCTCTTTTATAACTTTTTGTCGTCCTTTCTGAATATTTGAATCAGCTTTTGAGAAGTTATTGATATAAGTTATTGCTGTGCACATAAGTAATTGAAACTTCAAACATCTCAGAAAATGCATCAATTCCTTTGTGAAGAACTCTGGCTTAAATAGACTGTACAGGCTTAATACGTTTGATGACTGGCGAGCTGCTTTGCAGAACAACCAGAACCAGTATCATTTCATTGACAACTATTAACCATGTAATGAAAGTGTCAAGATTCTGCAAACACTTGCTCCATCAGCAGCTAACTACTTATAGTTTACTTCTAGTTTCTTTGTGCAGGGAAAGTGTTATTGTCCTTAGCCTCTCACTGTGCAAGGGTGTGTAGCAATCAAATAAATTATCCATCCTCATTGATTCTAAGTACAAGTACCGCATGAATCCGCAATATTGATTTGCTGGCTGTGTCTGAAAAACTGTATCATGAAATCCCTCCATAACTTAAGGCACACGGACGGCGTTGCAGAGGTACTTTATTGACGAGGACCAATATCTTTTGGCTTGTTTGAAGTACAAGTTTTAAGAAAACAGATATATCATATTAGACTCCAAATACCCCCCTGGCCCCTAAACCAGTCCATGTGCCCGATGGATGATTGTTAAAACAGTACTCAAGCTATTTAGATATGCACCCTTCAAAAGCGCTGTTTACTGCTTTCCCTAGAATGCTTGTCTAAAGCATATTTTTGGATGATCATTCTACAGAAGATATTATAAAGAAGGTGAAACTGCTTTCACAGAGACTTTATCATTGTTATCGAATCACAAATACAATGATACAAAATTATTCAAACAATTAACCTAGTAGAACTGATTGAGCAACAATTAGAACAAGACTCTTGAAACCAATTTTACCATTTCTAATTTTTATTGTTATGCAGTTATTATATGCATAAAAGTTTACCACTCATAGAAATGGGCCTTATGATAATTTGCAACCCTGATGCGCATCCCATCTCCATTGACATTGCCTCCTGTACTTCCCCAGACAACCAGTGAACTTCAAAGTCAAAATAGAAGAATGGAACGATTTTATTTAGCACATTTTTGCAAACATTTAGTTGCAGGAATCGGTGATACGCCTCATGCTCATGAACTTCTGGCCATTCATGCCCATCTCCCTGAAGCTCTTGTACTCTCCGGGCTTCATGTACATCATCCTGCCTCTGAAGTTGGGCTGCTCGTACATCAGCCAGTTTCCGTCCATCACGTTGCAGGACATGCAGTCGGACATGCGGTAACGCTCCTGGATGTTGTCGCAGTCCTCATTCATCTCATTCATCTGACCACCGAAGTTCTCTCTCTCNTAGATCCTCATCTTGTAGGATCCTCTGTGCTGTTGAGGAAATGTTGGAGAAAAGTAGACACAGAAGATCAGAAAAACATTCAAATAAATCTGAAGGGAATATCTTTGAAGAGGATGAATATCCTACTGTACCATGGGGATCATACGGCAAGACCTGATGCAGTCGGACATTCCCATCATGCTCATGTAGTCGGAGTACTCGCCCCTCTTCATGAAGTACTGGTTTCCCATGTAGTTGGGGCGGTCGTACACCATGAAGCTGCCGCTCTCCACCTTGCAGGAGTGACACCTGGTCAGGTAGGAGGTCAGCTCAGGGCAGTCACTGCTGGTCTCATATTGAGTGCCCTGGAAGTTCCTGTCCTCGTAGAAAATCATCTAAAAAAGACAACAATTATTCATTTGTATTGTTTTCAGTGAACTCTGAGAAGGATTTTAATTACTGTCCAATGAGAATTAATAACAAGTTTTATACATTTTGGATTGAAGTTTTTTTTTTGTTGTTTACTGAATCACTACCAGTACTTACCTTGCCCATGGTCATGATTTTTATTTGGTTGGTCCTCTGGACTGAGCTGTGGCTGCTGTGTAGCTGGTAACCGTAACTTTTATACTTGCTCGATGTGAAAATGTATATAGGGCTGCTATTGTGCAAACCACTGAGTCAGCCACATGCCATAGAAGCACGAGCAGTCAGGGTGCTGAACAGTTATTTAGCACTATACCTCTGCTGGAAATTCATGTACTGTACACATACAGTATTGTTGTCCAACATATAAAGAGAAGCTTCCAACCGTAATATTACTTCCATCATTATCTTTCACAGTGTACTGGATATTTCACTTGATTTTCAAAATGATTAGAAATATGTTCTTCAAATATAATTCAACATCAATTCTTTAAAAAAAAATCTGATAATAGAGGCAATGTAAATTAATTATCTGGCTAAGGACGATGTGACTTTAACAATCTAATTAAACGGATACATCCGGTAATATTTGGATTTATATATAATGTTTTACATTTTAAAGTTCTGTTGGGATAAGCTTTTATAAGCTTTTATAGAGGCATACACCAATGTTGTAGTTTTATATAGAGATAACATTATTATGGTTATGAGCATTTAGTGGGTTCTTCTTGAGTGAAGTGAAAAATAGTAGCTTGAGGAATAACCAATCAGATTATGCTTTTTTTATTTGTAGTTTTCATACAATATTGAGTAATTTATGTTTGGAAGACTTTTTAACATTTTTCCCTTTTGATCATATTTGTTAAACATTTTTATTTGAATAGCTCTTTATAATTTTAAACAATATTATTTGTTCAACTTTTGAGTTTAATGACAGTAAATTTGACCAACTTTGATCTTGGTTTTGGAACCCAATTCTAGAAGGACTTCTTTTTTTCTAATTAGTTCGAATTTGCTTAATCATATGTTGGATGTCAGTGTAACTGTTGCTCTGATCATAAATCAATTTTGGATGCGGGTGGATGAGGTGAATTAAGAGTTTCAGGTGTCATGCTGTAGCCTCTTTTACTTACGAACAATGGAAAGAAGACTTTACGCACAAATAGAAACATGTCAAAAACTGGTGAAGCCACTAACATTGTGACCTGTTGTGACCTTTTGCCCTCTTTCTGGACTTAAGGCAGTGCCTAGTACAATGATTGAACTGAACTGAGCTTCTCTTTTTCTAACCATGTCCCTTATTTTTTATGTGTCTGGAATCTCAAAGATAAGTACAACCATTAATTGGTGTGCCCTGTATTAATGTGCCCTGTCCAGTGTAACAATTAAGCATATTTAAGTAATTAGACTGCTGCTCTTAACTTTTTTATTTATTTTTCTTCATGAAATTGACTTTAATTCAAAAGACCAGTGTTTGTTTTATCAAAAGAATATCATTCAGCACAAATGTAAATGATTGTACACATATTATACAGAAACTGCACAGACTACCTCATCGTTGATATATTTATAGTCTTTATTTCAGTCGAATTTTTTTTTTATTCTTAGTCATAATATCCATTTTATATTATAATGCAAATATGGCTTAGTATGGTTCGTTGTTCCTATATTTTTTGTTTTGTTTATTCAGCATATTATATATCATTTTATCAACAAATCAAAAGGTTTCGTATCCTTAAAAAAACCTTTGAGCTGTAGGGAGATGGTGAGACTTTATTCAATGAGAACATCCAGTTGACATATTTTAGGTTCAAAATATTTAATATGAAGACCCTGACAATAGACCTTATGCAAGTAGACAGGTTGACTGGTCATAGTAGAAAAGCTAAGTAAAAAAAAATCCCTGTTTTAGATTGCTGTGAAAATAGAATTTAAGATTGAAGATGTTTTTTGCAATATCTTGCTATGACAGGTCAATCATGAATGCTGTCAAAATTAGGGTTAATGTAATTTCAACACTATCAACTTCCGAACTTAATAGTTACGTGCTAGTAGAAAAATTGCCTCATATATTTCTATTTAGAATCTACAATTTTTAACACTAAATCTCATTTTTGTCTATCAATGCTGAAATTTCAGGAAACGTGTAGAAAATCGTGCACAGTGTCATCATTTTCATTTCATTTTCATCTTTAATGTCACAAGCATCATATATGACATAACACATTTCAAAGGTAGAAGGAAGTCTTGATTTAATAAAATAGCAGCATCAACCACAGCCCAAACTGTCCTTTGACATACAGCTGGATGCTGAAAAATAATGCAATTCATTGTCAAATGTTGTGCCAAAAACGTCTTCCAGCCTCACTGGTGGGTGTCTGGTACCTCAATCATAAATTGATACATTCTTTATTAATTTTTGTTGTGGACATTTTAAAGCCTCGGGCCTGTTCTGTTCTTTAAGGGGAGTCCATGATACGTCGCATGGATCCGATCCTCATGTCCATGGGACCTGTTCCCATATCTCTCATGCTCCTGTACTCTCCGGGCCTGAGGTACAGCATCCTTCCTTTGTATTGGGGCTGTTCGTACAGCAGCCAGTGGCCGTCCATCACATGAGCAGACTGGCAGTCGGACATGCGGAAACGATCCTGGATGGAGTCGCAGTCGTCCAACAGCTCTTTCATCTGGCCTCTGAAGTTCTCCCTCTCATAGATCCTCATCCTGAACTGGCCTTTGTGCTGTAAAACAAGATGCAAAGAGACAGAAGATATTAAAAAACGGTTTCAAAAATCTGGATCAATGTCCCAGGTCTGGTGCAACTCTCACTTCTTCAGAATCAAGACTGTATACATTTTCCATTTGCTGCTGCCCTTTATTAATAATCATCCTACCCACCACTGTGACTGTATCATTATAAAATGATACACTTGCCTTGCCTTAATTTTTAGCTGTTTTTGAGAGTTTCTAATAAAAGTTGATATCTTTATCCTCCTATGTCAACAACACAAAGAGCATACCGTGGGGATCATGCGGCAGGAACGAATGCAGTCACTCATGCTCATTCCCATCAGGCGCTGGTTGTCGGGGTACTCTCCCCTCCTCGCCAGCGTCTGGTGGCCCATGTAGTTTGGACGTTCGTACACCATGAAGCAGCCGCTCTCCACCCTGCAGGAGTTGCAGCGGCTCAGGTAGGAAGTCAGCTCAGCACAGTCGCTGCTGGTCTCATAGGAGCGACCCTGGAAGTTCTTGTCCTCGTAGAAAATGATCTGAAAATTAAACGGCACATTCTAAAAAACGATTTCTCTGTGCAAGATCATCTGAAATGTTCTTTTTTTTTTCTTTCTGATACATCATAAAAATGGTCACTTACTCTGCCCATTTTGGTGTTCATTCCTTTCCCTGATGGTACTGGTACTTTGAAAAGCCACACTCAGTGTCACTTTTATACCCTTTATGATAGCGAAATTATCTATAGAGCTATTGTTGTTGTTGAATATCTTACTCAGCAGTGTACTAAACAGTTTGTTAAATCGGTCTGTAATTGGGTAATTATTCTAGACTGTATGCATCTGGTGCGGTGCCAACTGCATGGGCTCAGCTGTGGGGTACAGGTGGGTGACATTTTGCTGTCGGGGTTAAGAGGTGACAGTAGTACAGGTACTTCTATATTGTTATGGATATTGTTTTTATTTATCATACAATTCAAAAGTTCATAGGGAACATACAGCATGTTATGCTCTGCTCCATTTGCTGAGCTGTAAAAAGTTTTGGAAAGTGCTATGGAAAAAAAGAAGTAAATTAAGAGAACAGTACATTTTGCTTATCATGCGTAAATACTTAAGACATGCATAGCCGGAATTGTATTTGATTTCAACATTGTGGTAATGGTAATTTTGCTCAAGTAAAGGATTTGAATACTTCCTCCACCACTGCAGTTGTATTAGACTGTTAACCTAACTTTATTAATTTGTATTGTTTAATTTATAGTCATTCAATATGATCAATACAATGTAATAATTGGTGTGGATCACCACAACAAGAAAAAAAGAAGAGAAGAACATACAACTTCATAAGAGCTTCAAGTAAAAAGCAGATGCATCTAGATTGCATACATACTGACATTACATTCCATCCATGTATTGTAATGTCATACAAAAAAGAAGCATTAAAAAGCATATTTTATATTATTATAATTAAGAATTTTAGCTAAACGTATTGGAAAAAAAGTTAGCAATAAATTCAGTATAAAACTGAGGTAAAAGTTTATTCAGAGGTATTTAAAATTGGTCTAAAAGGTGTTTCACGCTATTTAGAATTGTAAATATCTTAAGCTACAGGATTCTCAAGAAGCAGGTTATATGAAAGGTAAAGAACAAAAACTCATCACCCTTTATACATAACTGTTGATGTCCTAAATACTATTTTGAGGGCCACAGAGGATAGTATACAAATGTTTTCACTTAGTAATAATCTGCACTTTTAGTTTTTTTTCTATCACAATTTATAACGTTATAGTCAGCAGATGAATATGTACTATGTGAAATGCATGTTCATAAACTTTATTTGCAGTTGTGTGCTGTTAATTGATTAAAAAAGATTTTCATAGGCGCTTGCACTTATAGCTATATCAAATTGCATGGCATCAAGCTGGTTACATTACATTTTGCTAGAAGATAAATACAAAAACTATGACTTGGATTACACCTGTTTAATCGGAAATGAAAACAATAGATTTATAATCATGAGCAAGTGTTTTTTCATTAGGTTAAATCGCAGCAAGTATGGTGAATTAAACAATTGTGTACAACCTAATAATACATATATGAATCGTTTTTATCATTCCTGTATTTGTATGTCAAAAACTAGCACGCTATTAGCTGGTGTGTTATTTCGATTTTGTAAATGTAAGTGGTGGTAATGATAATAATGTGGGACTATCAGAATGAATATGATATCTCCTTATACTCCAGTTTTTCAGAGTAACGCTCACAGACTTAAATCTTTAGTTTGATATAAGACAAGGTGACATTTGATTCTTCTCTTATTTTATTCAACACGTTTCTTTTTTTCTGCTTTAACAGGAATCCATTATACGTTTGACTGAGTTGAGCTTCATGCCGCTAAATCCAATTTCTCTCATGCTCTTGTACTCTCCGGGCCTCAGGTACATCATCCTGCCTCTGAACTGGGGCTGCTCGTACATCAGCCAGTGACCCTCCATCACGTTGCAGGACTGGCACTCGTTCATGCGGTAACGCTCCATGATGTTGTCGCTGTCCTCCATCAGCTCATGACTCTGACCACCGAAGTTCTCCTTCTCGTAGATCTTTATCCTGAAAGATCCTCTGTGCTGTTGATGTTTACAGAGAGGAGGACGGGTCAACATGAAGCTTGAAACTTTGCTGATCTAATGATATAATACATGCTATTTTTGTAAGAAATAACAGCTCTGCTACCATTTCAAATCAATATTATAATAACTACATCATTTCTAATAATGTTAATCTTTAAAAAAGACCTGCATACCTGTGGAATTTGACGGCAGGATCGGAAAGAGTCACTCATGCCAAAAGACATGTTGTCGGAGTACTCTCCTATCCTCAGGAAAAACTGGTTCCCCATGTAGTTGGGACGATCGTAGACCATGAAGCAGCCGCTCTCCACCCTGCAGGACTGGCTCCTGTTCAGGTTGGGGGTCATGTCAGAGCAGTCGCTCTGGTACTCATAGGAGCGACCCTGGAAGTTCCTCTCCTCATAGAAGGTGATCTGCAGATAAGAAAAAACAGTACAAACTGATTATGATGAGGCCTGAATGCGTCCATTTGAAACATGTAGTATCATGCACCTTTCTTTTATCTTTTTCAACTTGTTTACATTGAGTTCCTCCTAAACTGTAAAAATGCTTGTTTTCTATTCCACTCTGTGCATACCTTGCCCATGTTTGATGATCTGTGTTTGTGGGAATCTGTCCAACAACCTGTGGCTGCCAGGCGGCTTTTATACTTTATACGCGCTGTAACAGGGTTTTGTTATTCAAATGACCTGGAAGCTGATGAATAAGCAGCTCTGCGATCGCTTTTAATTTCATTTGTGCAATCATGATTCAGAACAAAGGGAGAGGGAAATAGGTGGAAGACACAAGGCAGAGGAGGGAGAAGGACTCAGCTAGAGTTTATACATTTACAACTGTAGAAAATTAGGGTGACACTCAAGTTTGATCACAGTTCAAACAGACTGAAAGGATTTTTTGTTTTTTGTTTGAATTAGCTCTAGTTCAGATAATTTGGGTCTTCAGAAGAGCGGAAACAATTTTCCATAGATCTATTGTTTCACAGTTCCTCCCCATTTCAAAGTTATATTTGCAGTGCCCTAAAATGGTACACAACCACAGTACTGTAAGTGGGAGGTAAGACTACAAATGAGCTTTAACCACATTCTGATTCTGATATCAATTAATCATGTGAACTCATGGTTTCTTGTCAGTTTTTTTTGCGATGTGCATCATTAATGTACAGTATCATGCAACAACAAAAAGCAGATTTAATTACATTTAAAAGCAACATCCTTAAGGTTCAAATCAAGAATTGTTCTCAAACTCTAAATCTTTCTTATCCCTGCTGCTTGAAACAATTGAACATCCGCTTTATTCATCTTTTTATGAATGGCTCTTCTCTCAAACTTTCTCATCTGGACTTGAAAGACACAAGAGTAACTAATAACATCCCAAAATACTTAATGGTGATTTTATCTATGAAGCAATGACAATGCGGCTTTGATTGGATTAAACTTAGAAGAAAAGTCAGTCTAAGGGTTGAAAACGATGTGTAGTTAAATGAAATAGATGTTGTGTTATAATGTTGTTGTTCCATATTCTTTAAGATTTATTTTGTTTACATTGCATTGTATATGCATGCTATTGTTTGGCTGACAACCTGTAACTAGTAGGTCTTTAACCATCTCCTGAATAAAGTAGAAAACAAGACGCAGGTATGAAATATTGGAATTAAAGATAGGAGGTCACAGTTTCCAGGTAGAGCCAACTAGTGTCCAACATTTAAGGACTGCATTTGTCTTGGGATCATATTCTGTAATCTCCTCTTTTAAGATAGCCAAATGTACACCAAATGTACAATTGTTTTCCTATTAAAAAAAAAAAAACCCTCCAAATATTAGACCAAATAACATACCAATGATCAATTGATAGAGCTAGTTCAATGGCAATAATACACATAATGATCATTAAACATGACAGTCGTCTTTTATATGTCAGTTTTGGCAATTCTTTGATAGGAGGACATCTCATGTGGACAAGGGGAAATCAAACTTGACCAAACCATTTTCCTGATATGCAAATCAGGCTAATTTAGATAACAAAAGCTTCCCCTCGTCTGCACATTCTGTATTTCGATATAAACCACAACACAGCTGCAGTTGGTGGCAGGCAAGCAATAGCAGTAACAATGGGGAAGGTAAGGAGCAAATGCGGTTAACTATTAGTTTTCATCTTTCAGCCAGTAACTATATTGCATATCTCTAGTTTGTTGTCATTTTAATGGCAGCCAGGCACAAAAATACTCTGTAATTGTATTTTTGCCATTCTGCAACGATAGTTTACCAGTATCTGTCTGCTTCCTTTTAATCCAGATTGCATTCTTCGAGGATAAGAATTTCCAAGGCCGAAGCCATGAGTGCTGCACCGACTGTCCTGACCTGCGTTCTTACTTCGGCCGCTGCAACTCCGTTAAGGTGGAGAGTGGCTGCTGGGTGCTGTACGAGCGTACCAACTATACTGGCAACCAGTACATCCTGAGCTCCGGGAAATACCCTGATCACCAACAGTGGATGGGATTCAATGATAGTATCAAGTCATGCCGCTCTATCCAAAATGTAAGCCCAGTTACCACAAGATGCTTTTTTGAACACAACCAACAGATTACACAGCAATGAAAGTCATACTGAATTTATGCTTGTCTATTTCATTTCATATTATTACTAATTTAATAGTGTCATCAATCTGGGTTAAGCTTACTACACCAATCTGTTGATATGGTAAAGTTCAATTGAGTAGTAGATTACTAACACAACATTATTAACATTACATTAAAAAAATATCTAGGTTAACTATCTTGCAGGAGTATGCTGGGCTCCAGTCAAATACAACAGAGTGCACCAACCAAGCTATAATTAGTCAAAGGCCAACAGGGATAAAAGGCTCATGCTTTGGCAGCATGATGCTTTTTGTCCATGCCAATGCACATCAATTATTAAAGGAAACTAGGAAAAAAGCCAAGAAACCAATTTGTAGATGTGAAACGGAAATATGGCAAACAAAACAGATATGAAATGCTTACATAATTTAATTAACTTTAATTATCTAACTCTTTCAAGGTATATGGAAAGTCATGGAAGATCAGATTCTACGAAAAGAAGGATTTCGAAGGTCAGGCTGCAGAGTGTGTTGAGGATTGCGCATCTGTTTACGAGACCTTCAAGTTCCAGGAAGTTCACTCCTCTGTGGTTATGGATGGTGCGTGGGTCTTCTACGAGCAACCCAACTACTGCGGGCACCAGTACTTCCTGGAACCTGGCGAGTACAACAACTACACCAACTGGGGCGCCACGTCCCCTGCTGTGGGATCCTTCCGCATGATCACGAAGTTCTAGAACAACATCATCAATTCAGGGTTCTGCAGCCCCTAAAAGAGCGATTTGAATGTTCAGGACACCAAAGTTCTATAATTCCTAATCAAATCTGATGTAAGAGCTTAGAGTTCTAGAACACTTACTAGGTTCCAAAGTCCTATGAGAATCACAATTATAAATTCCCCCCAAGATTCCAGAATTCTACACCATTGAAGTTCCAGTATTCTTGAGTCAGTTCTACAACATCTCAAGAAGTCAAGAGTTCCAGAAAGTGAAGATAAAAAGAACCACCTACTTCTTCAATTTAAACATCTGACCTTTTTTCCAAAAAATCAAATCAAATAAAAAAAATTCTTCCCCATAACAGTGCAGTGTGTATTTCTTCCTTTTTAAGTTTCAAGACACTTAGTCTTGTCTTCTTGTGTCCACCAGTAAACATCTTTAGACAGACTGATGGCAGTTCAAACTTAACATCAACACACTCATGTATCACACAGTTAGAAACATTGACTGAAAACTTAAAAAATGTATCTTGTTCGACAGTGGCCAGCAAATGTTTCTGCACATATCCGGATTTAGGATGCTTGAATGGAGACCTCACAATGTAATACTCTTAAGACCAAAAAACATGTTCACGTATCATTATCTGCAGTTACCCTGTTAATAGTATGAATGACAATAGTTCATCTTTATCAAATATTTGGTTCTTGTTTACTGTTGTGCTTATGGAGGTTGAGGTTGTACACATCTTTTATCTTTGATTGCACAATGTGTGTGTCCTTTTGTTTTTCAACAAAAAATTGTTAGAATACGTTACTCTCAGCACTTTCCATGTTTCCATAGTCTGCACTGACAATCCATCGATTACTGTGTCAGTGTAAAACATTACAGATATCGCACCAAGTTGATTGCAAGGGTTTAGCCACAGACAATTGTGAATAATGTCAATATCAATGATATTTAGACATATTTTTGTTACCCAAAAATGCTTCACCAATTACCCTGTCAACACAGAACTATCATACACAACCCCATACCTTTTACGGAGCCAAAGGGCATCTTCAGTGATCAGTTCTGACACATGCAAATGCTAAACCTACAAAAATATGTATACCATGTTGTTGGGGGTTCTTCTGTAGCCTAACTTTGGTAACACTTTATATTAAGGTACACAAATTAACCATCAACTAGTTGTTAATTAACATGCATATTAGCAGTATATTGGTTCGTTATTAGTAATTATAAAACACTTATTAATGCCTTATTCTACATGACCATATTCTACAAGTAATAAGCCATTAGTTGAGAGTTTTTTCTCAATAACCCTCTAATTAGTGCTTATTTGTTGCAAGTAAGGAAGTTGTTGTACATGAGTTTTGGTCTTAATATGCTCTGCTCAATATGGGCCTAATAAGGCAGTAGTACCACAAGAATAGTAATTCTACCATAATAACACTTACAAATATGATCTATTCTTATGTAACAAGACATGAAACTATAAGTGTTAATTGTGTCTAAATAATTCAAAAGGCTTGCAAGTCTCTTTGACCTGGAACCAGAAACAGAAGATATTGTTTTTTAGGAAGACTGTGTGTATTAAGACATTAATAAGAGTTTTATAATGACTAATAAAGAGCCAATATACTGCTAATATGCATGTTAATTAACAACTACGTTGATGGTTGATTTGTGCTCTTCACGACGCATTTATTGGCTGATGCGACTTATACTCAGGAGCGACTTATAGTCCGGAAAATACGGCTAGTTGATGGTTGATTTGTGTACCTTAATATAAAGTGTTACCATAATAATTACATACTTTATTTATCTGTATTGCACTTTTTGATAATAAAATGCAGCCAACATTATATATTTGAGCGGCATGTGGATTGGTGTTCGAATCAGGGGAGCACAGGTTCAAACCCCACTGCAGTCAGCATGTCGTTGTGTCCCTGAGACACTTCACCCCAAATTGCTCCTGTGGGGATTGTCCACAGTATTGAGTATGCAAGTCGCTTTGGATAAAAGCTTCTAACAAGTAACATGTAATGTAATATCATACGTAAAAGCGTTTTTTAAAACTCACATAAACAAAACAATTGTATTGCAGCGGTCCAGATCAGTTTGGGATGAGCCACGACTGACGCTCAGAAACTTGGCACTGCTAAACAGCCATTGTGTGTAGAAAGGCAATTCAGTGAGTGAGAACAATGGGCAGACTCTAGATGAATATTTTGGATTGTAATAACTATTACATGATCTGCTAACCATGCATAGTATTGTCACTGCCATGTATAAAGAGTACTGCGTTTGTTACAGGATGTAGTATTTTGAGAGCTACAGATGGAGAATGTGAGTAGAGTATTTTAAACATGTTTTTTTATCGCTGCAGGAGCTAATACTTTTCAAAATGTTGTGCAAGAAACCTAATAGTCAGTTGTTTTGTAAAATAGTTTTTATTGAATGCAAACACAGTTGAAGATAAAACCCTCTTTTTGTTAAACCTATAATTATTTTCTTTATGGATTAATTTCAGATTGTGTTTTACGAGGACCGGGACTTCCATGGAAAGTCCTACGTCTGCAAAGGGAACTCGGCTGACCTGCAGGGCTTCATCCACCGTTGCAACTCGGTCAAAGTAGAGGCCGGATGGTGGGTTCTGTACGAGCGCAACAGCTTCATGGGCTACCAGTATGTCATTGGCCCCGGGGAGTACAATGACTACCGTCACTGGATGGGCTTCAATGACTGTGTCAGATCCTGCAGGATAATCAACAATGTAAGTGCTCTAACAACAACAACAAACACTTATCACACAGTCTTCCTAAAAATCAATATCTTCTGTTTCTGGTTTCAGGTCAAAGGGACTTGCAAGTTGAGGGTGTTTGACCAGCCAAACTTTGAGGGCCATTCTTTGGAGTTGACAGAAAACACAAAGTCTATCCAAGAGAAGTGGCTCAGACATCAGGTCCAATCCTGCAAGGTCCTGGAGGGCTCTTGGATTTTCTATGAACATCCTAACTTCTGTGGTCGCCAGTACATGCTGGAGAAAGGGGATTACCAACACCACTCCGCTTGGGGAGCTCTGAAGTCAAATGTTGGCTCAATCAGAATAATCATGGGGCTTTAAAATGCAACCAGTCTGAGGAATTTAATGTAAGGCATTCCAATAAATGTATTTGATCCTAATACCTGATTTTTTCCACATGAATTTTAATGCAAATCTACTCTGATCCATTCATTCAACATAAAGAAAACACAATTACAATAATTGTTAACTATAAGGTTTATTAGTTAAATAAAGCTAAAGTAATACAGTCTCATATCATAATGTTCTCATGTTGACAATTAAAAGTGAATAAGGACTAGGACCAAATTACTTAAGTCACATGTCTGTTCCAATGTGATAGGATATAAGGTAAACACAAACACTTTTTCTTCCAATTCTCCAATATGTTATAAAATGTAAATACCAAGTGAAAACAAGGTCCAAAAACACGCCAGCAAATACCTGCTATTGCGCAAGGTGCAGAGAAATGGAAGGATTATGGATTCCTTGTCAGCCTTTTATCTGTGCTTTCGTTCTGCAGTAACGATTATTGGTGAAAAGTCATCGAAAATAAATCAACTTTTTAACTGTTTCTGTCAACTTCAATGTTAAAAAGTGATTAAAAGATCAGGTACCTCATACAAAAAAATTGTTTTGCTTTAATAAACAGATGATCCGACCGGGAATTAATAAATATATACACTTTCTAAAGAAGGAGATCCTTTACACTGCTTGATTAAAATATTTTAATGTGTTGTGTTTATGAGACAGAAACAGATGTGTGGTAAAAAACATTCTTGTCTTGTAACAAAAAAACCTGGAAATCTAGTTACTCATAAATCATAAATATAACTTCAATTGAACACTATATTACTATATCATCATGCTTGGAAAAAGAAACGAACATTTTTGATTCCAGAGTTTCTTTATTTGCAAAAAAAATGCACTAATTCAGTTCAAAAGTTATTTGTTTGTCTGTTAACAATGTTCATTTCGATTTTTGTGATAATGACTAAAGAGTAATGTGCACATTTGTGCTCTCATGCATGTGTTGGTCCTGGTGTCTGGTCTTCATGCTGCTTTACGTTCCCTCTCCGTCAGTGCAGACAGTCTTGTGACTCTCAGCTGATGGGAGTTCAGGGAGGGGGTCACAGAGCTTGGCTAAACCTGTGGACAAAGAGGGGCAACTCTGATGAGTCAGCAGGATTTGTACTGTAAGAGCCCACAGTATGCCAGCTGCTGTTAGTGCTGACGCTCGGCTCTCTGGAACAACACCGTGACCCTGACAACACAAAGGGAATGCAGCCAGAACGTTCGCCCAGCTGGAGGTATTCACCTCTAAAGCCTCTTTGTTTACTTCGGCCCTGATGCTTTCTGTGGCAACAGGAGTCAGACAGAGATTCAGAGGGAGAGCATCACAGTGAGCCAGTGTGCTCCCTCTGGTGGACGATGTTTGGAGCTGCAGCTCAATACGTTTTGTGTTCTGAGGCTGTTTGATTTAGTCCCTGCTGTTTAGTTTCAGTTAACAGAGATGTTAATGCTTCATGCATGTATCTTTTAGACGATAATCTGATGAGAATACCCTCACTCACAAAGTCAAGTCCATAAATTAACAGTTTCAGAGTTCGCTGTGCAATAACTTGACATGCATGCACTGAGCACTGATCCAATCCAGCATCTTTAGAACAAACTGGGCAGAAATAGACGCAGTACTCAAGGTTTAACTAAATAAAAGTAGTAAAACCACATCGAGAAATACACAACTTCAAGTGTCGAAATTAGTCCGCACAGTACTTCAAAATTCAAGTAACAATAAGCTAATTGATCTTTTTGTAGGGCAAACTTTTTTTTCTTCTGTGACTAAAGAATATGTGTATGAAGAAAAATGTCCTAGGTTTAAGGTGGGACAAACAGTGGAGTCTTTTTCTTGAAAAGATTAATCAAGAAGCAATCTGGATAGCCTTAATGAGGAGAAAATGTCAATGTTAATAGAGCTGTGAAATCAATAAGTAATCTAGTGACAGTGGCTGATGCTGCATTGCTACAACAGCACAGGATGTGAGGCCAAACATATTGAAATATTGACCAGAAACGGAAGAGAAGTCTTGTTGAAGTGTCATACGGTTGAGGTACTGTACTACTAATGCTCAATACTATTTAGTACACTTTCATGGACCAGTAATACGCTAGTGTGAGACTGTGCAATAGCAGGTTTTGCTCTTAGTTTGTAATGACTTCTCTTTGTTTCTTTGAATTATTGGTTCACCGTGAAAGCATGTGAGAATAACAAGGTTTTCTATACGAGTGAGTAACTGATAAAAACATTGATCTCGGGTTGCTCTATAGCTCAGTTGGTTGGCGGCCCAGTTACCCAAACTCAGTCTCCATGCTGAGGACCTGGCCTGGGAACAATGTCACTTATATAAAGGCACTGGTTAACGAAAACAAAAGTAAACTGAGCTCAAGAAAAGCCTTTCTATCCCAAATATCAGCTGTGTCATGCATTTGTTTTCTGATTTCTTTTTACTTGGGTTAACCAAAACCTCCTTTAAGTTTACAGACTCCTTTTAACTTGTCTCCCTGCACCATATTTCCTCCAGCTCAGTTATTTATAACGTTTCCAAAACTGTCGATATGATTTGTCTCAGCGGCCGAGAGGAACTCTGTTAATCCAGGAAAAGAATTCCAACTCTGGCTGCAAGGCTTACCTTGTATGGCAAAAAAAGCAGAGAAGAGAGATGGACTTTACGTAGTGAGAGAGTGGGAGAGAGGGACAAACAGAAACATACAAGACAGGGTCAAACACATTAAACAAAACCTAGTGCAGGGTTAAAAATAGCAGCGAGGAAGCCGCTAAAGCTGTCAAACAACAGCGTCTGCAACAGCATTGTGTGTATTACAGTTTATACAGTGTCCCTTCATGAAAATGTCTCCTAACAATACTCTTAATGTTCAATAAGGGATGCAGTACAGACCGCTGATGAAAGGCGATATGACAGTTTGAAGTTTAGTTTCACCTGAAGCTGATTGAGGATGAAAGCAGCCACGTGTACAGCGACATATAAAAGCTCTTTGATCTCTGCTAAAAATGACATGCTATTATTAACTTAACAATACTGTATGTGTTCAGAGACGCTCACCTGATGCTGAAGCTGAAACCCACTGAAGCTGAGCCAGCGTTTATAATATCTACATTTTTTTAGCTTTTGATTAGCACAAATGATATTTTCCTCGTTGAGAACGCCAGTAATATAAACCGTTGCTGTTTGGTTTGTCTCCTCTTCAAGACATAACTACAATTTGATGTTGTGCTAACCCTACTGTATATAATTGTTTATGTGAGGCATACATGAGCAAAATGACCTACACCTCGTTATTTATGTAAATGTTACTACAAATGTTATATAAATGTAGTGCAGTATAAAGTACAATATTTCCCTCTGAGATGCAGCGAAGTGGAAGTGGCAAAATGTTTTAAAGGTCCCATGTCATGGCCATTTCTACTGATCATAATTCCATTGTTGAGGTCTACTCAAATAAATGTATATTGTACAATTTTCCAAACTCACATTGTTTTCTCATACAGCATCTCTGTATAGTATGTGTATTATTCACTCTCTGTCCTAAACGGCTTGTTGGAGCTCCTTTGTATTATTATTATTATTATCAAGATACAATTTTAAATGCTTTTGATTTAGATTTATTTTCTGCTGTTTTATGACTTAATTTGAATTAAGTTGCCTGTCTTGTTAGTTTCACAAACAAGTAAATGTTTCACAGGAGACCACAAGATGGCAGGATTGCACACACAGTGTTAAACTGGGGTACAGCTTAGTTTACACAACAAATAACCTCTACAAGATGATGGAAGTGCAACAATAAAAAGAGAAGCAAGATGTTTTTATATGAACTGTTTAGTTTAAATGAATTCCTTTGAAGATAACATACTTGAGGGTGATTGTTTTGTTGAAGCAGTTGTATATAAAGCATGGGAGATAAGAGTATAATACGCAGACTAGTGTGGATAAATAGGAGGTTTACGACCTAGACAGTCAATAGACGAATCACACCACTTTCTCCACAGTGAATATGGATCCATGCAGTCACCCATTTCTGTATTCATGTCTGAGCACACACACCTTTGTGCTAAAGGTTTACCAGGGAGCCTGATGTGACGTCAAAGCTGGGGAGAAGGAAAAAGAAACAGTATTGCCATGGAAACCCGTCTCCCTCAGTTCCTCTTTGATCTCTGATCCACGGTGGATCGGGGAACATGAAGGCTGTGTTATTGCACAGACATGCAGACCCGCACAAAGAGACACTCTTTCAGGTTACCACATGGCAGTGATGTTAAAATGTTTCTGGACAGCAGCTGACTTTATGTTTAATGTCAGACTGCTCTATACATAGCTTGTATTGCCAGTTCAAAGTATAACTGAGGATGGAGTGCCATTTATAGAACTTCAAGGCAGAATGAACATTTGTAAAAAGTTTTTTTTTAAATATTTATTTGGATTGCTGGATTGGGTCCATAGCCTTGTCCTCCAATACACTGCAACCCTGAAACTAGGTGGATGTTTTTCGCAAATATCAGTATCGATCAGACTGAACATTAAACACCGGGCATGTTGAGGACATTTTGACTGTGACTGGCGCAAAATCAGACAACAGCCAAAGGTGAAGAAGAAGGGTTATTCACACGAAAATTTCTTACTGGAGAGACCTCAATTTAATTGAGAATTTTGGGTATGAGCGGAAATCGTCAGACGAATTCAAGGTTGATTATCAACAAATTACAAGCCGACTAATTCGCTTAAATGTGTGTTATGCGTCCCAAAAGCTCTACCCAGATTTCTTCAGACTTCTTATACGAAAATGTCCTGTTTTACTTCATGTAAAAGAGGGAAACTCCACCAATGTCAACACACACTCACTCCCCCCCTGCCTAAAACGCCTCCTTTTGGACTCCTTTGTTTTCTTCCGTAACACAATGACATTATAATGTAACACTCGTGCTCCTATTGGATAGCGCTCTAACACATTGTAGTGATAGGCTAAGGGGCGGGACATCTAGAAGTGGT